AAGGAAAAAGCCCTTTATCAGGAGAAGCAAGAAACTGCTTCAGTCTCAATAAACACAAGCTGTAAATCTCTAGGGGAATAATTATTGTTTATCCTTTCTGTTTTGTTCTCCATTGCTATCTATCCTTCACATCACTGCAGTCATCACCACTGTTACTTAATGAACATTTGGGGGACCAATCCTGGGATGATATATGGTTAGGATAGAGAGATCCTTCAGTGGTTTCCTTTTTAAGCCTTTATCAACAAGATATGAAGAAAAAGACTATTTGTACAAAGATCCTCTAAGGCAGGGGTGTCAAATTCATGGCCCACAGGCCGGATGCATCACATGCTGGCCATGCCCATGCCTGGTTTAGCAAAGAGGAAAAAAATCACAATACATCACATGACGATGCCATGACGACCCGAGTTTGACACCCCTGCTCTAAGGAATGAGGTAGGTACAATCAATTCTAATAAAGTGGTACTTCAGTAGCCATCGTTGATTGGTTCCAGGTGGTACGAAGAGTACCAAAAATGATGAATACCAAACAATTTTTTCCCATAAGGAATAATGTAGTGAGTCACAAGGCAGCTGATACCAAGTTCTAGCTTGTGCGTTGGGTACCAAACAAATGATGAGTACCAGGACAAAATTTTCATGTCAAAATGCATTGAGTACCATATTCAATGAGTTTCAAAGCAGTTGAGTACCAAGATACCACTATATAAGAAGTCTAGTTTGGTTGTTGTCACTGAACAAGTGCCATTATTGGTCCAGATATGGCCCTTTATAGCAGGGGTGAAATCCAGCAGGTTCTAACAGGTTCTGGAGAACCAGTAGTGTAAATTTTGAGTACTTTAGAGAACCGGCAAATACCACCTCTGGCTGGCCCCAGAGTGGGGTGGGAATGGAGATTTTGTAATATCCTTCCACCAGGAGGGGAGGGAATGGAGATTTTGCAGTATCCTTCCCCTGCCATGCCCACCAAGCTACGCCCACAGAACCAGTAGGGAAAAATTTTGGATTTCACCCCTGCTTTATAGGCTTGCTCAACTGGAATATCATGATTTATCCTACTATGGGTTTGATGGTTCATATTACTTTTTTGGGTTGGGGGGGGGACATTTCCCCTTCCTCCCCCAATTGAAATTTATCCAGCATTGATGATTGTCCAGAAAAACAAATTATCCTGTAAGGGATGAAAAGGTTTTTTAGGACACTGTCAACCAAAATTCACTTTGGAATCATGCCATCATTGGGAAATAACATTGTTTAACCCAGCCTTTCTCACTTAAAGAATTTTGGTCTGCTGTAGAGCTTTCAGATGTGGGTGAAAGAATCTGGGTGTTCAGGAGATGGCAGCAAAGAGTTGAGGTTTTCTGTGTCTTTTGGAGGTTGCCCATATCTTTGCAGCCCATATCTAATAGCCCAGTGATATTTTATTCTTAAGCAAACTTCTCAGGGAATCATTGCCATTGACTATAGGGAGACAAAAAAGCTCAGAATTGTACTAATATGAACATTACTGTCTCGTTTTTATTAATAACTAGCTGTACCCGGCCACGCATTGCTGTGGCCCAGTTTGGTGCTTCCGCTGGGCTAAAAGAGCGAGGCTGAAGTTCCAAACTCTCCACGAACATTTGGTGGGCGTGGCCAACTCGATGTCATTCACTTTCATCAGTCACATGACAGCCCCCGAGCCATGCCTAGCCAGGTGGTGATTAGGGCAGAGAACCGGTTGCTAAAAAACAATGGGAACTACAAAATCCTCCCTCTCTGTCTCCCCCTCTCTCTTTGTATCTCTCTATGTCTCTCTCTCTCCCCTGTCTGTATCTCTCTATGTGTCTCTCTCTCCCCCTCTCTCTGTATCTCTATGTCTCTCTCTCCACCCCTCTGTATCTCTCTATGTCTCTCTCTCTCCCCCTCTCTCTGTATCTCTCTATGTCTCTCTCTCCCCCCCTCTGTATCTCTCTATGTCTCTCTCCCCCCTCTGTATCTCTCTATGTGTCTCTCCCCCCCTCTCTCTGTATCTCTTATGTCTCTCTCTCTCTCCCCCATTTCTCTGTATTTCTCTATGTCTCTCTTTCCCTCTCTCTCTGTTTATCTCTGTCTCTGGCCCGGCCTCTTCTGCATCCCCCGCCATCGCCCTTAGCTTTTCAGTCCAGGCCTTCGCAGCTCTCTGCACTACAGCAGAAACTCGGAGGCTCCCTCCATCCTCCCTACACAGATGTTCTCTGGAGGCTCGACGGGAAGACGCATAGCAGGGAAGGGAAGGGAAAGGAGGGGGGAGGGGTGCAGCGGGGGTTCAAGGCTGGTTTGGGGCTTCCCACCCGAAGGAAGAAAGCAGCAAAGCCAGGAGCCACTGGACCCCTGTTGCGTAGTTCTCCTCCCCTGCCTGCCAAGGACAGGGGAATGATTAAATCCCTCACTCTTCCAGGCAAAACGAAGGTGGGCCGGCCATCCTCCCTCCTGGCCGTTTCCGCCCCCCGAAGCCTCCCCAGAGCCCCTTTTCTGCCAGAGGCCGAAATTTTCGTGTAGGCTCCATGAACTGCCAGAGCGCCCACCTGGGAATCAAATGTGGCGCTGGTCAAAGGCGACCCCGAGGCTCCAGTTACCTCCATCTCCCGCTCACTGACCGGATTCGCATAGCGCTGGTTAGCGGCTGGTCTTTCTGACCTCAGGGCCTGTGGTAGTGCTGGGCCAGACGCAATTCGGGCCAGGCGAGGGATGGAGGGTTCCCGCTCGGCAGACCCAGGCAGCCTCGTTGCCAGGTGTTCTTTGGAGGGAGCCCCGAGAGCGGCTGGCGAGGGGGATGGGCAGCAGCGGCGGGCAAGGCTAGTTTGCGGGGCGGCTGGGGAGGGGGAGGTCAGAGCCAGGCTCGGGCAGGCCCTGCCCAGCCCTAGAAGCACCAGCTGTGAGAGCTTCCCGGTGGGGAGCCGGCTGGCTGCCTACCTGCCGAGCCTGGTGGCAGAATATGGGTGTCTCTGCCTTCCAAATGCGCAGTTTCTTGGAAGTAATATGGAGAGTCTAAATATAAGGAGCAGAAATCTGTTGAACGTAATCAGGGCTGGGAGGCTGCCATGTTGGTTTTACGTCAGCAGATGGTGCTATTTTTCAATGTTTTTCAATGTTTGTCAATGTCTTTCAATGTTTTCCAATGTTTTTCATATTTTTACCTGTCACAGATGTGACATGTATATAATATAGGTATATATAAACATGCCCGTAGTCCAATGCAACGTTGTGTCAAAATTTGAAAGCAATCAGTGAAGAACTTTCGGAGATGTGCGGTTATGTACAAACGGACATTTACATTTTTATTTATATAGATGGTCAGATAGTACAACCTCTAAAACAGTTCTTATTTGTTCTGATGGCAGTTGTCCTAAAACATCTAAAGACACCACATGCAGGCAGACACAGTTCTTGAAATAACTCAGTCTTAGATTATTCAGACATTAGTAGACCTAAGAACCTGATGGCTACTTCAGTGACGAACCACATTGTTCTTAGATTACCATTTTTAGACATTAAGACTATAAAAATAAAGCTCAAAATAAATTTCCTCTATACTATGAGTTTCGGATAACATTATTTTAGGGACTGAGTCTCAGTTGTTGCTTTATAATCCTATAATAAGTAGATACTCTTCACTGAATAATCCTAAAGATGTGAGAGCCACTTTAGTGTAGTGGTTAAGTCACCAGGATAGAAACCAAGAGACTGTGAGTTCTAGTCCAACCCTAGGCACAAACTCAGTGGGTGAATTGGAGCCAGACATTATCTCTCGTCCCTAGGAAAATGGCAATGGCCAACCTCTTCTGAAAACTACAAGGACTAGTCCAAGTAGTTGCCAGGGGTCAAAACTGATTCATAGGCATACATATATAAAGTTTTTACAACATACAGACTTGCTTCACCTAACATTGTACAGTAGAAACTGATATTTCCCAGTTTTCAACATAAGCGAAGAAAACTTGTATATGTAATTCATGATGTACTAAACTATGATTGGTTAAATATCTGCCAGTTAGATTTTTAATCTAACAGTTAGTTAGATTTAAAAAAAAACAATTTAATTTAAGTTACCGTATTTTTCGGAATATTAAGACACACTTCCCCCCCCAAAAGAGGGTGAAAATGTGGGTGTGTCTTATACACTGAATGTAGCCAAAAACGTGAGGCACGGAGATGGCGATAGTCTGTGGCAATCCCTGCAGCTTGGAACATCTGATTGGGGGTATTCTGGGAGGTCAATCCACCTGCCAATCAGCTGCTCGTGCTGAATCAGGCTGCAATAAGGTGCTGAAGCTGACCTGGCTGTTTGCTGTTTGCTGCAAAGACTCAGAGTTTACTGCAGTAATCACATCCAGAAAGCACACACAAGTAACTGATTCAGCAGGATCTAATAGCTTCTGTTTATATATAATATAACACATGAAGTAAATTTACAATACCAAAAGCAGGTTTTCCAACGTGGTAGTAAATACAAGCAAAACACAAGCAGAGAAGAGGAGTTTCAGTTTCAGTTTTGAGCAGCAGACTGTTTAGAGCTCAGCACAGACTCAGAGCTGCAAAGCTAAGCCACGCCCAGGCTCCTTGCTGTCTCCTTCCTTGTTGCTCACATAGCAAATACTGTTTCAGTTTCAAAACAGCCTTCAACTTTCTCACACACTGGCAGGATGCTAGCCAGATGAATACCAATGGATGCTGGTAAGCAGAGGCAGATTTTTTTTTTCTTATTTTCCTCCCAAAAACTAAGATGTGTCTTATACTCTGGAACGTCTTATACTCTGAAAAATACAGTAATTTAATTTATGCAGACAGCCATCATATTTATATAGCCAACCATTTCACAAACATGACTGGGCAGTGTACAATAAAAAAAATGAAATGTATCAAAAGCATTTCACAAATAGAAGAATATTAATATTCAGAGACCAGGAGAGTATGAGAACGTAGCCATTTGAAACTCTTCACAAATTAATTTTCAAAATCTTGTTTGTGTGTTTCAGATCGAAATGCTAGAGCACAAATATGGGGGCCACTTGGTCTCTCGGAGAGCAGCCTGCACAATTCAGACTGCCTTCCGCCAGTACCAGCTCAGCAAAAACTTTGAGAAGATCCGGAATTCTCTACTGGAGAGCCGCATGCCCCGGCGGATTTCCTTGAGGAAACTCCGAGTCCAGAACTCTGAAAATTTCTCTGCTGAGAAAGCTCTAGTGGAAGGCTATAACTTTGTTGGCATCCCCTTGGTAAGATCTCCCTCTTTGCCAGTAACCATTAGTGGGGCCCTGACCGAACTGGAAGACTCCTTCACTGAGCAAGTTCAATCTTTGGCCAAATCAATTGACGACGCGCTTAGCACATGGAGCCTGAAAACGATGTGCTCCCTTCAAGATGGCAGTTCCTATCAGATCAGAGAGACCTTCAGTACGAGTGCCATGCAACCAAACCAAGACTTGGACATGGAACTGAAGGACCAAGAGAAGGAGGAAGGGCTGCTGCCAGACACATTACCAAAGAGCAGCAGCACGCTCATGATGGCCTTCAGGGATGTCACTGTCCAAATAGACAACAAGAACATCTCCGTCTCCTCATCTACCTCGGTGTCTATGGCAAACTGCCTGGCTAACAGTAGTCAGGCTGGGATTTCTCCAGCTGCCAAAATAGAAGAAATCCCTGTGGAAGGGGAGAAAGAGGATAAAGATCTTCAAGTTGTTTCAGAAGGGCAGCCTGATGCTGGAGCCTTCCAGAACAGTCACCCAATAACCGAGGGGAATCTCAACACCAACGGTTTGGAGAAAGGGGAGGCTGAGCAAGACCAAATGATGATGCCGAAACTCGAGTTTGGCTCTGAAAACGGGACTGGGCAGCACAAGGGATCAGAAGCTGAAAATGTAGACAATTTGGAACAACTGAGCAGTAGCAGTACGTCCACCTCGGCGAAGTCTGCTTCAGAGTTATCCTCAAAGGAAGCCCTGCAAGCCATGATTTTGAGCCTCCCACGGTACCACTGTGAGAATCCAGCTGTCTGCAAATCCCCCACACTTTCCACGGACACCATGAGGAAACGGCTGTACCGCATTGGGCTGAATCTCTTTAACATGTAAGTGACTTAACAAAAACACCTCTTTAAAATCTCTTGTAGCTTTCCTGAGTTCATCAAAATAAGAAACTGCCAGAAATAATTAGGATAGTTTGTGGCCCGCCGGCAGCCAGCAGAGCTGGCAGCAGTCGGACAGTGAGGAGGTTGGGGTGGAACTTGGGCCAGTCCTGGGGGCTGGGGAAAGCTTGGATGAGGGCTCTGCATTGGAGGCAGAGAGGGAGCTAGGCAGCAGTGAGGCAGAGGAACAGCTGGAGCCCGTTCCTAGTGTGTGCATGCGCAGAGCTGCCAGAAGACAAGAACAACTCAGAAAGTAGGGTCGACTCAGGAGTAAAGCCACACCTTGAAGGTGATTGGCCCCTCTCATAGGAAATAAAAGAGGAGAGAACAGGGAGCGGGCTTTTGGAGGAAACCATTCATTCATTCCGTGACTCTGAGAGACTCTGTGCCAAGTTTGGCCTTGTACTGCGGTTGGAAACAAGTTACGTGGCAGCTTGCCAAACGAGATAAGGTGTGTTGAGAAATATTCCTTTGAAAAACGATTTGGACAAACCTTGCTGACTCTGAATGAACGTAATTCACAGTCGTGTAAATAAAAGAGGTTTTGCCGGTATCAATTCCTGCCTCCTTCTTATTAAGGGAGCCTAGGTCAGAACAGTTAGGTGTGGCTTATCCCAGCAGTATGATTTTCTGGTTTAGAGGTTCAGCTTTCGAAGGACCGAGGATTCTGCATGGACTTGAAGAGAAGTAATGGCTTTCCTATATTCTGCTCTGACTAGACCCAGCCTAGAATAATTGTGCCACTTCTGAGAACCATGCTTAAAAAGAATTTAAACAAACTGAATTCAAGGGATCTGGAGACTAGAAATAAGGGACTAGAAATAAGGGATACAGGTAGTCCTCAACTTATGACCACCACAATTGAGCCCAAAATTTATGAAGTGAAAAATTTGTTAAATGAGTTATGCCCCATTTTACGACTTTTTTTTGCCACATTTGTTAAGTGAATCACTGCAGAGTAACACGGTTGTTAAGTGAATCTGGTTTCCTCATTGATTTTGCTTGTCAGAAGGTTGCAGAAGGAGGTCACATGACTCCAGGACATTGCAACTGTCATAAATGTGAGTCACTTGTCAAGCATTTGAATGTAAATTCAAATGTGACCATGGGGATGCTGCAATGGTCATAAATATGAAAAATTGTCACTTTTTTTTTAGTGCTGTTGTAACTTTGAATGGTCACAAAAGAAACTGTTGTAAGTTGAGGACTACCTCTACTAATAGAAATTGATGGAACTTTGAATCTTTAGCTCAGAGTAGAGAAAGGGAATAACTGTCTTCGTGCAAGGATCTGGCCCGCAAAAGATGTCACCCAGAGAGTCAGGCTATAGAATACTGATTTTAAATTACAGAATGGTAGATTTCAAGAAAGTGTTTGGGGGGTTGGTGGGGAATCTTATTCGACCAATTTAATAGGAGAACCAGTTGTTCAGAGAATTGTTGGAGTTTTCTTCACTGAAAAGATTCAAGTAGAATTAAAGAGTTGATGTGGTGGCTCAGTGGCTAAGACGCTGAGCTTGTCGATCGAAAGGTTGGCAGTTCAGCAGTTCGAATCCCTAGTGCCGTGTAATGGGGTGAGCTCCCGTTCCTTGTCCCAGCTTCTGCCAACCTAGCAGATCGAAAGCACGTAAAAAAATGCAAGTAGAAAAGTAGGGACCATCTTTGGTGGGAAGTGTTCCTTGTGCCTTTGGCATTTAGTCATGCCGGCCACATGATCATGGAGATGTCTTCGGACAGCACTGGCTCTTCGGCTTTGAAACGGAGATGAGCACCGCCCCCTAGAGTCGGGAACGACTAGCACGTATGTCCCTTTTTAACAGGGAGGTGTGAAGTCCAAAATACTTGGGGATTTCAGATCGTCTACCCCTGACCTTGTAATAGAGACAATATTTATTCGTATCACTGTTGTGGCTACTTTTTGAACTGAATAAAGATACCACCAGTATCGGGCAGCATTGCGTTTCAGGGTTTAGTGACCATGGTTAGATAACAGATTTCCTGATGTTTTGCGTGCAATTGTGGCTGGCTGGTAACTTCAGAGGCAAGGCAGCCTGCTAATATCTCTTATAACACTTGCTTAATGAGATGTTATTTTGCATGCCCAATAACTCTACAGGGATGCTTTGAAGAATTTGAATGAATGACTGGATGAATAAATAAATAAATGACCTACTTACTCGTTTAATGGGCTTAGGTGCGAATTCATCTTTGCTCATTGTTTCATATCCCTTTGAAAGGCAACCTTAAGAAAGAAGCCATTCAGGATGCCGTGGCTAGAATAACCAGCAATGTAATAATACCATTTGTTCCTATTTAAAATCCTATATATAATCCCTTTAATTTAGTTTAGTCACCAGTGACTTGGCCTATGACTTACTCATGCTGAGGCACATAATGAATTTACGGTAAATGTTTAGAACTGGTAATATCCCACTATTTTTCACCATATGGACATATTCCTTATTTTTTTTTAATCGCAATGGCAGTCTGCATTTTCTCCTGCTTTCCCATTGGAATTAATTACCTCTTGTGCAATACCCTTGGTGGTAATAATAATAAAAAAAATGACTTCTGGTTGCCAAATGGTTCCAATGCTATTCCTTTCCTCCATAAGACTGCGTGCATGAGGTCTTAGTTAATAGGAACTGCTCCCTGCAGAGCAACAAACTTTATTGCTTTCACTAATAAATGGTAACATGTGGGGTGATATAAAACTTCCCGACAGGATTTAATGAAACCTACGGTTTACCTACAGTAGATATTCCCAAGGGAGAGCCTTCCCCGATATATGGAATTCAGCTTCTAGAATTCCTAGGCATTTATGGATGGGAATGATGGGTGTAACCCTCCATATCTAGTTGGCCTCAGGTTGGAGAAGGTTGGCCCATTACAGGTACTCCTCAACTTACCACAGTTCATTTAGTGACTGTTCAAAGTTACAGTGGCACTGAAAAACTTATGACCCTTTTCTAACATTTGCAACCATTGCTGCATCCAGTGGTGAAATCCAAATTTTTTTACTACCAGTTCTGTGGGCATGGCTTGGTGGGCATGGTGTGACTTGGTGGGCGTGGTTTGGTGGGCGTGGCAGGGGAAGGATACTGCAAAATCCCCATTCCCACCCCACTCCAGGGGAAGGATACTGCAAAATCCCCATTCCCACCCCCCTCCTGGGGGAAGGATATTGCAAAATCTCCATTCCCACCCCACTCTGGGGCCAGCCAGAGGTGGTATTTGCTGGTTCTCCAAATTACTCAAAATTTCCGCTACCGGTTCTCCAGAACCTGTCAGAACCTGCTGGATTTCACCCCTGGCTGCATCCCTATGGTTATGTGATCAAAATTTGGATGCTTGGCAACTGACTCATATTTATAACAGTTGCAGTGTCTTGGGGCTCATGTGGGGTCCCCTTTTGCGACTTTCTGACAAAGCAAAATCAGTGAGGAAGCCAGATTCACTTAACAACAGTGGCAAGAACAGTGGCATGGTTGTACAATGGGCCAAGATTCATTTAACAATAGTTTCGCTTAGCAACAGAAGTTTGGGGCTCCATTGTGGTCACAAGTCGAGGATTACCTGTATATTATAAAGCGTTTGGTCCCTGGTCTTTTGTATGGCCTTTGCCAAACTCGGTTCAGGGGTGGTATTCACTTACCTTCTCTACCGGTTCGCAAATGTGACCACGCGCGTATGTGCAGAGCATTAAAAACGGGACGTGATGACGTCCGGGCGGGTGGGCGGAGCCTCCCACCGCCACTGCTACTGGTTTGCCCGAACCGGATAGAACCGGCTGAATACCATCACTGGCTTCGGTTGTATAAATTCCTATATGAGAAATTACTGGGTAATCTTCTGAATTGTGACAGCCTCCTGCGACATTGGTTGAATATACTTATGAGTCGGCAGTTCAAACAGCAGCAACAGATGCCTTGGCGAACGGGTGGAATCCCTGGAACAGAGGAAGCCTCATTATGCAGCGTTGCTTTCATAGTGGCGATGTGTGGGCGGCCATCTCTGTAGGCAGAGGGGGAAGCCAGGAGAAGGGAAGAAATTCCACAGCATAACAACCAACTTGGTTAACTTCTCAGGGAAAAAAAAAAGGGGGAAGAAAAGCTGCCAAGTTAAATCTAGAAGCGATACCGGCTGCTAATTGCTATTCCTATCACAGCATAATGCTGCAGGAATGCTGGGGCAACATTACCATGTGGCAACCTACCAATAGCTCCTGAACATTCCCCACGTTAAGACTAGCCAAGTAAATATAACCACGAACAAATGCTTCAAGTGACAATCATCTAATAACAATCAAGTGAAGCCTCCAGCTACCATCCACCAGGAATATAAATTAGGACCGATCACATTTTAAGAGTCATTATTCTGTGGAATGAACACGTTGAATCAACATAATGAGGACCCCGATTGTTGGGGGCAATATGCTAATGCCAATGCAATATGCTAATATGCTATATGCTATATGCTAACTTTGTAAACCGGTTTAGAGAGGGCTGTAAAGCACTATGAAGCGGTATAGAAGTCTAAATAATAATAATAATAATAATAATAATAATAATAATAATAATAATAAAATAATAATAATAATGTTTGCCAATTATGTCACCACTCTTGGGTGGTTTGACTAGGAGCGAGATAGAGAGACAGAGAGAGAAAAGAAGGAAAGAAAGAAAGAAAAGAAAGAGATATTTCTTTCTTTTTTTTCTCTCTCTCTCTCTCTTGCTCCTAGTCAAACCAACCCAAGAGTGGTGACATAATTGGCAATTATTATTATTATTATTATTATTATTATTATTATTATTATTATTATTATTTAGACTTCTATACCGCTTCATAGTGCTTGATTGTTGTTAGATGATTGTCACTTGAAGCATATCCTTCCTTCCTTCCTTCCTTTCTTTCTTTCTTTCTTTCTTTCTTTCTTTCTTTCTTTCTTTCTTTCTTTTCTCTCTCTCTCTTTCTCTAGAGACAGACAGACAGAGCTACATTTGTATCCCATTATTCTATCAAGCTAACGTATTATGGTAATTTATAGTTTAAAACAGGAAGGATAAGGAAAAAAACCAAGCAAATGTGTCAGGAATGAATTTCATTTCATAGATCATTACAGCATCAAGGTATTTGATGGAATAACTATGGTAATAGGCAGTTCGGGGTGAGGAAGAATACTTTCAGCTACAACCCATGGCAAACTTTTACTCATTCATCTCTTGTTCAGAAGCAATCGAAGGCAAGTAGCCCTTGTTGAGCCACTGCCTTGTTTAGCAACCGTTCACAGTTACAAAGTCGATGAAAAAGTATTTTTATGGCCGATCCTCGAATTTACAACTTTTACAGGTTGTAAAACTGAAAAAAAAAAAATGAAAACTCTAAGATTGTAAACACAGTTGTGATTTTACTTAGCCACCATTTTGTTAAACAAAGGAGCGATGGTCGCTCAATGAGGACTACCTGTACATAATGGAGTTATTTAAGGAAAGAAGGAGGTAAAAAGTGATTTATCACAGCCAGAGCAGACTATTATCAATTTCCTTGTTTCTTTAAGACATTGGAACATATTTTTTACCACACAGAATAACAGAGTTGGAAGGGATTTCCTGACAGTTAGAACAATTAATCAATGGAACCACTTGTCTCCAGAAGTTGTGATTGCTCCAACACTGGAAGTTTTAAAGAAGAGGTTGCATAACCATTTGTCTGAAGTGGTGTAGGCTTTCCTGCCTAAGCAGGGGGTTGGACTAGAAGATCTCCAAGGTCCCTTCCAACTATTCTATTCTATTCTATTCTATTCTATTCTATTCTATTCTATTCTATTCTATTCTATTCTATTGCAAAGTATGATCAAAGAGGACAACAGTCCTGCCAAAGTCACATGGTTCAGCCATTTAATTTTTCATCTCTCACAGCATATCCGGCCTTGAAATCACTGGGTTTCATTTTAAAAGCCTTTAGAAACCGATGGCAGCAGAAGAGAATGCTAGGAACCACAGAAAAAAATGTTTGGGAAAGGGATCACAAATAGCTTTCCAACTGCAGCTGATCCTCCACCGTTAACCAAAACCCAGAAGCTTGTTAGCATCTTTTCCAAATAATAAATTTGACTGAAAGCCATATTTTTTTGTGTGTGTGTGTGAGCTGTAGCTCATTCATCCAAAACATATCATGATCAACTGTAGCTCACAAATGTTTAGGCCTTTTTATAAAACGTATTAGGTGTCAGACTCCTGAGCATGAGAAGAAAAGGGAAGAGAAATCTGTAAGAATTAAATCATTGTACCTCTTCAATAAGAAATTGCTAGTTTGATTACCTTGCTACCTTTCAGGCCTGGGGGAAACTGCATATAAGTACTTTCTAAAGCAGAAGAGCCTATATCAGGATTTTCCCCCTCAGTGAATTTTCCGGTATTTGCTCTTTTTTCTCTAACCTTATGACACTTCCAGATGTTCTGATTTCAGAACTGAAACGAAGCAAGGCTTCAGTGGGCTTTTTCTCACCGTTAGTTCTCCATCTACTACAGGTATTGTACTTCTTACTCTGACTAGACGTCTATAAGGCTTGCTGAAATCTGACAGCAGTTAGAACAAGCCCCATCTACCCAACCTGTGAGCAGTGATGTCAGTGCCTGGCTATTGACGAGTTACTGAGTGCCTCACTCTAACCCCTCTAATAAAAATTCTATTCTTAAGACCAGCTGCCTGCAATTACTGCAGGGTTCGAATCTCGCCAAGGCTCAAGGTTGACTCAGCCTTCCATCCTTTCTAAGGTAGGTAAATTGAGGACCCAGTTGTGGGGGCAATAAGCTGACTTTATATAAATATACAAAAGGATGAAGGCTATTGCTGAGCACATTGTAAGCCGCCCTGAGTCTTCGGAGAAGGGCGGCATATAAATCAAATTAAAAAAAAAAACACGTATGAACATGAGCTTCTTTTCATCTCCTAAGCAAGAGAGAGTTAGCTGAATCTCCTCTGCTCGCCAAGATGGCGTACTTCCAACGATGACAATTCTGTGTTTTAGCTCTCAGTCCTGCCTCCGGGGCATTATGTCAAGAAGCCAAAATCAGGGCATGGCAGTTGTCTTGCTCCCGTGGTTGCACTGTTCCACACACTGTTCCTCACTGGCAACCTATTTGTTCCCTATTTGCAAAAAAAAAAAAAAAAAGAAGAAGAAGAAGAAGCAAAAAACGCCCTTCTCATAACTGGAGCAAAAGGAAGATGGAACCAAGCGTCATGGAAAGGATGTAGCAGTTGCTGAGAGGTTCATTCCATTCCATGAGTGGATTGGAATCAGGGCTGAAATCAGGGCCGGATTTAGATGAAAAGAGGCCCTAGGCTATTCCACTTATGAGGCCCTTTCACCTATAGTGAAAGTGTAATTTTAATTTTGCTAACAATTTGAATGTAGGGAATGTAGGCCCCTCTTGATCTTGAGGCCCTAGGCTGAAGCCTAGTTAGCCTATAGGAAAATCCGGCCCTTGCTGAAATGCTACTGGTTTGGCCCGGTTCGGCCAAAATGGTAGCGATGGTGGCGGGTGGTTTGGAAAACCGGTAGTGACAGCAGCGTGAGGCTCCGCCCACCAGCCCAGTCGTCAGAAGTAACCTGTTTTTTTACCTTCTGCGCATGTACTTCCGAACCGGTAGGGAAGGTAAGTAGATTTCACCCCTGATTGGAATCCATGGGTGGCACTGCCATCTATTGTGCAACTGTGGAAAAGGCCAGGGTTTACATGGCCTTGTCAGAAGAATAATTTGGGGTGGCACAAGACTAAATAAAAATAACCACTCTGAGGAAAGAAGGAATACTTATTCCTAAAAGCAAAGAGTTTGACTTTAGGGGCATCTGCAGAGAAATGGGGTACAGTGACATAGTTATATAAGGGAACTTGTGGGAGTGTCTGGGGTGACACTTGAGGGGCATGTGTTTGTCTCTGTGTGTGTATTCTTGTGAACATGCAGTTCTGCTGGGAAACCTAATTTAATTAACTCTGTTTGTGTTTATGGACCTTCTCCTTTGATATGTGGATTAGGTCTAGATAATGGGGTTTGAGGGGACGTGGTAGCTCAGTGGCTAAGACGCTGAGCTTGTTGATTGAAAGGTCGGCAGTTCAGCGGTTCGAATCCCTAGCGCCGCATAATGGGGTGAGCTCCAGTGACTTGTCCCAGCTTCTGCCAACCTAGCTGTTCGAAAGCACGTAAAAAATACAAGTAGAAAAATAGGGACCACCTTTGGTGGGAAGGTAACAGTGTTCCGTGCGCCTTTGGCGTTTAGTCATGCCAGCCACATGACCACGGAGACGTCTTCGGACAGCGCTGGCTCTTCGGCTTTGAAATGGAGATGAGCATCGACCCTTAGAGTCGGAACGACTAGCACATATGTGAGAGGGGAACCTTCACCTTTAATGGGGTTTGAGATAGTTTAAGTAAAAGATTTTCTCCCGTTAGCTATTTCGTACTTGATTAATTTACTTTCAGCTTGACGGTCAATTATCTAGTGGAGACTCTGATTCTCAGCCCGTTGTGGATTCTGTTCATGTTTTAAGGGAAGATGGAAACAGTATAAAGAGTAAAATATATTTTGATATAAAACTGCTCACAGCCTCTTCTTAGACAAGAATTGTGATCTAAGCAAAATTGTAAGGATCCATCTCACCTTTATTTCCCTGCTCTTTGCAGAAATCCAGACAAGGGGATCCAGTTCCTGATCTCTCGAGGTTTCATACCAGATACACCGATTGGAGTGGCCCATTTCCTGTTGCAGCGTAAGGGGCTCAGCCGACAAATGATCGGGGAATTTCTGGGAAACAGCAAGAAACAATTCAACAGAGATGTCCTGGAGTAAGTGTCCATCACCTGCTTCCTCTACCCTATCACCAGCCACACTTTCTGCTATTAACCATGGTTAAAAATGTTCCTATAGGTCAGATCTGGGTATTTTGCATTCCCTGGAGCACATCTGGCTCTTTGGCCATCCCTGTCTGGCCTGCATGAAGTTAATGGGAAATTAGAAATCACTTTGTGCTATGCACACAATATACATTGCTTTTATTTTGAACGCGACTGCTTTTTCTTTTTCAATTTATGTACATGTGTGCATGCGTACTTATCCACCTTGGTTGGATAAGTACCCTATTGGTTCGGCCCTCCAGAATAGAATAGAATAGAGTAGGGTAGGGTAGGGTAGGGTAGGGTAGGATAGAATAGAATAGAATAGAATAGAATAGAATAGAATAGAATAGAGTAGAGTAGGGTAGGGTAGGGTAGGGTAGGGTAGGGTAGGGTAGGGTAGGGTAATAGAATAGAATAGAATAGAATTCTTTATTGGCCAAGTGTGATTGGACACAAATCAAGGAATTTGTCTTAGGTGTATATGCTCTCACTGTACATAAGGAGAACAAAATACATTCATCAAGAATAAAAAGATACAACACTTAGTGATAGTCAAGGTTACTAATAAGCTATCAAATCATACTAGGAAACAAGTAAAAACAATATAAATTGAAAGATAAAAGCAACATGGTTATAGTCATAAGTGGGAAGAGATAGATACTAGTAAGGAAGAGAAGAATAACAGTAATACATTCTTAGTAAATTATTTGACAGTATTGTGGGAATTAGTTGTTAAGCAGAGTGATGACATTCGGGGAAAAAATGTCCTTGTGTCTAGTTGTTCTGGTGTGCAGTGCCCTATAGCGTCTTTTTGAGGGTAGAAGTTGAAACAATTTATGTCCAGGAAGTGGGGGGGGGGGGCACATCCATGAAAAACAGTCCCAGTTTTTCATGGAGGTGACCCCCTCACATCCTGGACATAAATTTTCATCTGGCCCCTTTGAAAAATGAATTGCCCACCCCTGCTATAGATACATTCTTCAGTTGCTACCCGCTTCCCTACTAGTTCCTGTTTTTCCAGAAACCTTGTAAGATTTGCTGCTCGTTTTTATGTGGGGAACGTGGGGAACAATCCAACTGAATCAGCACTGCAGAAAGAATATGAGAACAGCAGCTCATCACCAGGAGAAATAAACTGGCTGTACAGTTTGTTTTACAGAAATGAATTAAGGGAGGCACATCAAGGGAGGGAGAGGATGGAGGAAGGATGTTTTGCTTGCCGCAGGACAGTGAACAGGCTGGCTTCTCGGTTGTCCTCTTGCAAAAAGTCTACTCCACAATTTATTATAGAGTTTGGAGCATTTTAGCGCTTTGTCCACAAGTTAAATAAGGATTCAGTGCTGGTAAATCACATACTTAGAGCAGCGATGACATCACAGGGAAGGGAAACACTGTGAGGAATTGAAATGCAGTGTAGTTGTGGTTCTGTTTACAAGCTTAGCTCCTTATGATAAATAGTAAACTGAATCTTTATCCTCCTACTTCCAGGTTTTCTTTTTGTCTGTATATTTGATCTGTGTCAAGCCGGAGGACATCACCCTAGTGATATTCTTGAATAGAAATATATATTTGAAAAAATTTCAGCCAGAAGCAATGGAGGCAGCAAAGGAAAGCTGGGAAGAATGGACGAGTTGTTTTTTTACTACTACTGTGTTTCCCCGAAAATAAGACCCTGTCTTCTATTTTTTTGAACTCTGAAATAAGCGCTTGGCCTTATTGCCATGCACTCAAAAACCAGATTGGGCTTATTATCAGGGGATGTCTTATTTTGGGGGAAACAGGGTAGGTAGATTCTAAGCAGCTATAACAAAAGTTTAACCTGCTTACCATCAAAGACATGGCTGTGCTCAATTGCTCTGTGATTAACAAAGCAAAAGGAAAGAGCAAAGTGTCCTTAGGTGGCTCTAGGCAGCACGAATCTTTAAGCGAGGAGAACATCAACTCATTGTCAACCGGTTATCAATGGCCATTAACAGCAACCTGTTTGCCTGACATTGTCAAACTGATTTTCCTCCTCTGTCACTTTTCTCCACTTCATTTCTATCTGCTGGAGACGAAAAGATTGCTCGGCCCTGGATCCTTATGGGGAAGGGTTTTACTTCACTTGCTCTCATCCTGGGGTAGATGTACCTGCTCGAGTCCGAGAGTTCTTGTTTGAGCTTGCCCTTGCTTTTCTCCCTTCCTTTCCCTCTATCTGGGTTCTTGCCAGCGGTGCTATTCAGCAGGTTTTGGAGAACCGGTCGCATAAATTTTGAGTAGTTCGGAGAACCAGCAAATACCACCTCTGACTGGCCCCAGAGTGGGGTGGGAATGGAGATTTTGCAGTATCCTTCCCAGTGGTGAAATCCAATTTTTTTTACTACCGGTTCTATGGGTGTGGCTTGGTGGGCATGGTGTGGCTTGGTGGGCGTGGCAGGGGAAGGATACTGCAAAATCTCCATTTCCACCCCACTCTGGGGCCAGCCAGTGGTAGTATTTGCCAGTTCTCCGAACTGCTCAAAATTTTCACTACCAATTCTCCAAACTGCTCAAAATTTCCGCTACCGGTTCTCCAGAACCTGTCAGAACCTGCTGGATTTCACCCCGATCCTTCTCCTGGAGTGGGGTGGGAATGGAGAGTTTGCAATATCCTTACCCCAGGAATGGGGATTTTGCAGTATCCTTCCCTTGGAGTGGGATGGGAATGGAGATTTTGCAGTATCCTTCCCCTGCCACGCCCACCAAGCCATGCCCACAGAACTGGTAGTAAGGAAATTTGAATTCCACTGGTTCTTGCATTGTGCTAAGCCAGGATATGGTGAGCCTGTTTGCTTAGTGTATGTGGTTTGTAAGTCATGGTTATGGCTTAACATGTTACATGATTCTGATCAGCTGGGGCTAATTCAACAAACCATGATTAATATAATGGAAGTTTAGCCCAGTATATGAATTTCATCTCTCCACTCTCTTTTCCATTTCTTTTTTTCTGAGTGAGAGGAGTAAAGTTTGCATTATTTAGTAGACCTGCAAGAAGCAAAGATTTAGTACATGGCATGCTTCAGTCTTGCCTGCAGCTGTTCTGCTTGTCATAACAGAGCTATTATTTTCCTCCATGGTGAGGACAGTCTGGTTCAAAATGAGCAACATTTGAATTCCTGGTGATTTCTTTTTTTATGATAGCTAAGATATGGGTTCTACCAGTCCTACATAGAACAGCAATTGCATCAAAAAAATGGAAAGTATTGAAATAGTGATGCATGTATATATTTCATTTTAAATACTGACCTCTGATAGCTTGTTGTTGTTAGTTGCAAAGTCGTATCCGACCCATCGCAACCCCATGGACAACATTCTTCCAGGCCTTCCTGTCCTCTACCATCCTCTGGAGTCCATTTAAGCTCATGCCTACTGCTTCACTGACTTCATCCAGCCATGGCATTCTCTGCCGTCCCTTTCTTCTTTTGCCCTCAATCTTTTCCAGAGGCTCTTCTCCAGTGAGTCCTTCCTTCTCATTAGGTGGCCAAAGTATTTGAGTTTCATCTTCAGGATCTGGCCTTCTAAAGAGCAGTCAGGATTGATCTCCTCTAGGACTGACCGGTTTGATCGCCTTGCAGTCCAAGGAGTCTTTTCCAGTACCATAGTTCAAAGGCCTCAATTCTTTGGCGCTCAGCCTTTCTTATGGTCCAACTTTCACAGCCATACATTGCAACTGGGAAAACCATGGCCTGATAGCATAATAGCATTCAATTTGTTAAGTCTGTAATTTCATAGAATAGAATAGAATATAGGATAGAATATAGAATAGAATATAGAATATAGAATATAGAATATAGAATATAGAATATAGAATATAGAATATAGAATATAGAATATAGAATAGAATGTAGAATGTAGAATGTAGAATGTAGAATATAAAATAGAATAGAATATAGAATAGAATGTAGAATATAGAGTAGAGTAGAGTAGAGTAGAGTAGAGTAGAGTAGAGTAGAGTAGAATAGAATACTTTATTGGCCAAGTGTGATTGGACACACAAGGAATTTGTCTCTGGTGCAGAAGCTCTTGGTGTGCATGCAAAGCAACTGAGTAATAAAAATCATAATAATGATACCAATAAGAGGGGGTAGTAGAGAAGATGAGAAGGATAATAATAATATTACAGCCATACAACATGCACAAATATACTTAGACATAAGACAATACTTTGAGAATTTCCTCTTATGGTTTCCCAATACAATCAAACTTAAAGACCTAAGGTAAGTAGAGAGTCTAATTACCATGCTTAGAAGTAGTATATAATAGTTACAATTCCAAAAGAGGTACAGGATTTTTTTTTTTTAAAAAAATCACAGTTAGAAAGTAGGAGGAGGAAACACATATAGCGGTAAGCCAAAATAACAAGGGATCACAGTTCGCAAAGAATGGGTTAGCAGATCCCACTAAACTAAAAACATACAAGTCACATTTGCATTGAATGTTACATGCGTGTACCACACTTCAACATTGTAATAGAAGAGAAAAGGAATACATGTTGTTGGAGAAGAAAACAGTGGCATGCAAATTCCTTTGAAGCTTTTTTTTTTTTTTTTAGAAATAATGATTGTGACAAGAGTGGCATCATTATGTCTGCCTCTGCTATCTTTATCTCTTCATCCCCTTCCTTTCGACCTCTTGTTTGTCCTTGCGTGTCATCATTTTGCCCCGATTCCATTCGACTTTTGTTCCTTCCATTATGTCCTGAAAATGTCGTATTCTTTGCATTCATTCATAAACCGTAAGGAGTGGATGATTCATGCCATGAACCATGAACAGGGTGGGGTGTTTGTTCTGTTAGCAGAGAGATCTCTGGGAAGGTCAGATGCAACTGTCTGCTTCAATTTCTATTCGGCGTAGGGTTATTTTTTCAAATGCAAGAGACATTCTGGTTAATGGGAACAGGCTGCTTTTCAGACCGGGGCAATCTTTTCTGA